CTGTATGTGCCTTGCCTACTTAAAGGGTTAGTAACTGTGCTAGTAGGTACTGCAGATGCCGCCGTGTGGTTAGCAAGCCGGACTTTAGCGTTTAACCTAGGGACAGAGCTCTGAGGGGTATGTTGTAGAGTAAGCTCGGTGTTGTTAGATTCTAATGGCAAAGCCTTGAAGCCCGCCGTCTGCGGGACGGGTGGAGTTTGCTATTCGCACGTTTTCTAGAGCGGTTTGCATTTGAGTATTGGGATTAACCTGAAGGTATGGCAAAGCCAGAGCCCATGAGATAGGTTGATTTGTTTCCTAGTATAGTTGACTTAGACCATCACAGATCAGGATACACAACTAATGCCACGTTTAACTGCTCGTTTACTCATCCGCTTCCAACATTTGCGGCTAGGTGGAATCAATTCCCTTGAGGGCCATGGTTGAAAATGAACGCTGTCCTTGTTTGGTCACGTGGAGTAGAGGGCGAGTGACCCTCACGTTCTTTGTCCCAATGAACTGTAGACATCGGTTGCCGTAGACGGGTTTCCACGATGAGGACACACGTACAGGGAGTTTGGCCAGCTTATTGATCCACACTAGTTCCTGTGGGACAAAGTCTTTGGTATTGGTGTTTAGTGGGTGGCTGACGGCAGAAAGTGCCAAAGATGGGCAAATGCAATTGAAACGGCAGCTGGTGTCGCAGCTTCCTAAGTAGTGATCCTATTGATGTAGTTCTAGGACCACCAGATAGCGCGGAAAATCCTTGGTTGCTCATAGTATCCTAGCAATGAAAACTGTTACGAAAAAGACAGTAGCACATCTGCATATAAGCACGAAGCGCGTCGAAACAACTTGTGTTGCACAACTTACTCTCCGTAGGAAAGGCATCCGTAAGAGTATGTCCACTGAACACAGTGCGATATTCCGTTTCAAATGAGTATAATGTCTGCGCTTGGTGAAGAGGAAGAAATAAAATGTGACAGCGGAGAGCACATTTACTATGCGGCCAGTAGGTGCGTCACCCGGTGCTGAGGAATGCTGTCGGATCCTTCGACGCACTTCGCGCCTCAAAGGAGGGTCGGTTCACCTTTTGCGTGCTGTATTCCCGGAGGACCGCGTTAAAATGAAAATTGCAGTGGAAGTATTGTTAACCCGCTGCGCAAACAGTGAAAATGACTTGTGTATTGAGGATTTTCGCCTGAATCGGAAAATGCAGAGGACGCACTAAAGCCAGTCCATGTCTTTCCCGGACCTAAAGGTCAACCACTGGATTGCCCTTACTGTTCGTGATCCTCCGCAGCCTGCGTAACGCACTAGCTGAAGTTGTGCACCATGAGTCAGTACTTCTCCCGAACCTTATGGCCTTAAATGAGACATGGTTTTCCTCAGAGCTCCCAGATCCCGAAGCACATATTTCTGCCTACACTCTCTCCCCAGCTGCTCACATTTGTCTGAGGTACTGGGACGGCGTTATACTCTACTGCAGAGAGAATCTGGAGGTCCATGTATATGAAGTCGTCTTAGGAGGGGACGGATGCTCCGAAGTGATTTAGTATTGTATCCACGATGGACGTAGATCGCTCCTTCTTGGTGTTTTCTACAGAGCTCCCCTGACTCCTAGTGATCGTTTATCGGAGACTAAAAGACATGGGAGAAATGAGGATTGTTTAGTAGTGGGGACTATAAACCCCCTATGGTTGATTGGGATCTGCTTCACTGCGCTGCTGCACAGGAATCATTTGCTTCTACCTTCCTGAAAGCTGTCCTTGAAAGCAATTTAATTCAAGATTTCACGGCACCTACTCGCATTAGCCCTTGTCAGATGCTGCAGTACCCTAACTTGTGCTTTTGCCTGCACAATCGGATGTTTCTGCCTTGAACGTTTTACCACCAATCGAGATAAGTGCACACTACCTAAGTTCCTTTCACTGGATCACACAGTAGAGCATTCAAAACCACGATGTCTGCCGCCGGAATTTCTGGCGTGCTGAGCCAAGCCGCTTGAAGCTGGCCGCTTGCGTGGAGGATTGAAGCCTTTCGCAACACTTAGGCGTCGATAATGCTTGGTGTCCTGTTTAATCATTAAGGTTGGCTGTTATTATTGTAGTTTTTCCCATACCCAAACGAAAGCTCGTTACCAGTGGTTCCCTGGATTGCGGGAGACTTACAAGCACTCATAAAGCAAAAGCACAAACGATAGGAACGTTATAGAATTTCGAGATTGGAAACTGGTTATATAACTTATACATTGGTTTGGAACGTGTGTACACAGAAAAAGCTTACTAACCGGTGGCAAGACGAAACCCATCTGGCCTAAAGTTCCAAGTTAAAACCGAAGCTACTTTGCTCATATTTGAAAAGCAGCACCAGAGCCGAAAGTAGAATACCGCCTTTGTAGGCCCAGCTCTTAAAACCGTGCTCCATAACGACGCTGCTAGTCTTTTAGTTTACCAGTATACGTCGATCTATTCCATAGAGGTTGCTCATTATTCGTACTTGCTTTCGCTTCCCAGTGAGCAAGACATAAATGCTAGTACCGTGCACAAACGTTTGTGCATGCTGGATCCACTTTTTCCGAGGGCCTGATAGAGTGCATCCTCTTTTCCTAAAGATTGTGGCCGAATATATTGCTGTTGCTATCTGGCACGCATTTCGGCATTCACCTGAGGCTGGGCATCCTCCGTTTGCCCGGAAAGAGGGCAAAGGCAAGCCCCCAAACAAAGGAGGAGCTCGATATGGTCTTACAAATTATCGGCCTATCTGTATAACATCTCTTGTTTGCAAAGTTTTGGAATGGATGCTCAAGCAAGCTCTCAAGCTGCATTTCTAAAACCTTAAGGTCATTTTAGCCACAAGGCAAAACTTTCATCCTTTGCGTTCATGTATCACCAATCTTTTGGTAGTTCACGAAAATTGTAATAAATCCATTAGTGCTACAAAGCGACTGGATGTCGTATTTTGTGGCTTTCAGAAAAGCTGTTGACAAGGCTCCACACGAAATTTTGCTTGCCATACTTCGCAGATTGGGTGGTTCAGGAAAAAGCCCTCCTTGGCTCACAGAGCTCTTGCATGGAGGAGCTTTCCGCGTGAAAGTAACTGCGTATCTTTCCGTCCCTGTAAAAATGACCAACGGTGTTCCGCAGGGCTCTGTTATGGGCACTGAACATTTTAAAGTTTATTACTGACCTGGTGTCCGTACTACATGCAGGTTGTTTGAGTTACGCAGATAATTAAACGCTGCGAGTGGAAGTCTTCTGTGCGGATGAAGTTGATGTATTACAAACCAGGCTCGCTTTGCTGCATGGTTGCTCGGTCAGGGGCCAATTACCCATAAATCAAGCTGAATGCTCCATCCTTCCGATCGGTGCCTCCGAACCCTTTGGACTTTATCAAATCGGTGAGCTTCTGATGCCAAAGTTTAATAGTGAGTGGGAGCAAGGCTGCGTTGTGACCGCAGACCTAAACTCGACTGGACACTTTGAGCAAAATTGCTTCTGCCAACAAAATGTTTTCCTCACACGACGCTCATTCTCCTGCTTGATTCCGGAAACGTTCAGGCTCGTGTTCACTTCTCTTGTGCATCCGATCCTTTCGAGAAAACTGCCCGCTGCCTCCTCTCTTTCCAACTTTGCACGCAACTTGATGGAAATATTTAAGGGGTGGGGATCTAAATCTATTAAGTAGTTACGAAAACTGCTGTACCTCCTCCTCAGAGCCTGAACCGGTTCTACCTAGCTTAACGCCGATATCGCGGTGATTTGCTTTTCATACAACTTGTCGTTAGAAGTGAAAATGGAGTGTAAACGCAGGATTGCTTTCCACCCAATTCCTTCAGTTCGACTCGGGGTCACCATTGGAAATTGTTTAAACAAAGGAGACTTCGGGTCCGTTGTGACGTCCCTCTAGCTGCCAGAGTAGTAAACGAGTGGAATAACCCACTTGTGCAAGTCGTTGATGCGCAGTCGAAGGAATGTTTCAAACATCGATTGGACTGTGCTTTCGCTCGGCCACATCTGGTATACTGCCTCCAGGCTTGTCCGCCCTGCCTCCTCCGGGACAAAATGGTCCTAGAGAGGGTTTTACGGGTGGGTAAGAGGCTAGTTGAGGGATAATAAGGACGGACATGCCCCGCGCGTCTAGTAGGTTTGGAAATGCATTCAATACACGCCGAAAGGGTTAGAGGAAACGTACTTATAACCTAAACTATCGTAACTTGGAAGGCTGGTCCAGGTTTACCTAGGCTGTCCAGTCCCGCTAGATTGTCTGTTCTACGCAGTCATTCCTTGAAGCTGGACAAACCGCGCTCTGATCGGATTAGGGCGGAAATCCGGCTGTTACGCGTAGTCATCGAGTATTGGGACATGGTACCGAAACTGTTGTCAGGAATCTACTGTTAAGCAATTCGAGCGGCAGGTTGACGCACTTGGGTGGCAGCACCAAACCTCGCTTTTTTCCTGACTAACGCGCAGCCTCATAATTCCATTTGCTTTTCTCTCCATCTCTTCATGCCTTAGTATTATTATCCCAGTTCAAGTGAACTTATTTATTCTTTACCTTCGATTTCCTCCTATCTTTTGCTTACTTCCCGTGACTGCTACAGTAGAGACTGATACGGCAGGAAACGTGGGCATTAACTGGTTGGCCAGGGTGCCATACGGGTATTCCGTTTTAGATCCATTTATAACTCAGTGCACTGCATCAATACCTATCTCAGTGATCCACTCAAGATGGAACACACGGACCTCTTTTATCGTTCCAGTCCCACCCGAACTTGAACTTGATCCTTACCTGTTGAGTAAAATCGGATCTTGTTTCTTCTTGTCTCAATGCGGCGGTTCCTTTGATACCTACATGCAATGTCAACCTTCATCCCTGCTAGAAACGGGAGGCTATGGAGCATGCAATTGATCGCTCCTTCTGCTCTCTAGTTTTCATTGATCCAATGATCCGAACTCAACCTTGTCCTTGGAGAATATCCGACCTTGTAACTGCGTTTAGCGTTTGGCCGGAAGTCTCTAATGACGCCTAAGGTTCTTACCGTTTTCTCATTTCATTTGCGTGCAGGAGGATATCGAGGTCACTCACGAAGATCAACAAAGAATAAATAGTTTTTCCATTTGGAATCTAAAATACCGGGATTTCACTGGCGAATATGAACAAAAGAAGGTTAGTAATGTCTATCATCTAAAAGCACTTGCAGAAGGAACTCGCGAATTTGAATGATGCTGAAGACGAACTTATTCTTTCAGAGTTGGATACGCATCCGTATCCTTTTGTTACAGTTTTTGCATTTCGTTTTATACTTAAGCCATTGTTTGCTTTGACTGTTTTGACTTGGCTGCTCTGTAGCAGTTGCTCATAAATTAGTCCCGCCAAGCTGCCTAGTCTCCGAGGTCACCCGTTGAAGCTGCACAAACAGCGTTCTGACCGGGTAAGGAAGGAAACTCGCTTGTCGCTTCGAGTTATTGAACGTTGGAACTCGCTTCCGACGCACGTGGTTAGGGAGTCTACGGTAGAGGGTTTCGAGCGTCAGTTAGATGCTCTTGGGTGGCAGTACCAAACCTTCCCCTTCTCCTAACCGACTGGTATCTTCAACTTTTCCTTCGTTCTTTTTTAATTTTCTTCTCACCTTGGTATTATCATTATTTAGCTGACATTCCTCTTCTTTTTTTTCTTAGCTTACCCTTCACTCTTTTACTTCACATAAACCGGCCTGGCAGGGATTGCTGGGCAGGAAAATGTGGGCAGTAATTGGTTGGACAGGGTGTGATGCGGTCTTTGTTTTAGGCTTTTCAACATCTCAAGCAGACCTGTCAATTCCCGATCCAACGATACGCAAAAGAAGGAACATTCACGGGATTATCCTATCGTTCCGGTCCCAACTGAACTTGAACTTGAACCATTAGGGCCAAATAGCCCCATAACACGTTATCTGCTTAGCGGTTATGAACTACACCATGTTTCCAAACTGGTAGACTTAGGGGGGTCACGTTGTCTTCAAAACTTATATCCAGTGAGAACTGGAGGAAAGCTACTTGCAAGGGTTTCAGAATGTTGTGGATGATCCGCAGGGTATTCGCGACCATCACAGCCGATATGCTTGTTAGGTTATTCTCATCCTTTGTCAGGCTGCATTTGTAATACTGCATGCAGGCTTGTGCGCCTTGCTTAGTCAGGGACAGGATGTCGGTGGTGTTGAGTTGGAACCAAAATGGTTCATGAGCTACGGAACTTTTTTTTACCCAGAAAGACTGCTTGAGCTGGGAATGTTCTCAATGCATTATCGTCGCCATCGAAACGACCTGATCTTGATCTATCGCATACGTACCGGTGAAACCGGCCCCGATTTATCTGGGCTTTTCCAACCGGCTCAGCTTCCATCTCTCCGAGGTCACTCGATGAAGCTACACAAACCTCGATCGAGTGGGATTCGGGCGGACTTTCGTTTATCACGCCGAGTAGTGGATTCCTGGAATGCACTGCCCGAGAACGTGGTATTGGCACCAACGGTGGAAGAGTTCGAACACCGATTTGATGCTGTTGATCTTCCATTCTTAACATTCCCGTTCACATCTTAGCTTATTCACCCTATTGAATTATTAACTTTATTACTTTTTGATTCTTGACGCTCTTATTACTTTCGTACTTCTGTTTCTTATTTCACGTAACCGGTGCGACGGGACTGCCAATGAAGGCTGCGTGGGTATTAGGTGGTTGACCGTGGTATGATTCGTGCGCGCGCTTATCTGTCTTTTCCGGATTCCAGTTATCGCGGACGAATAATACCCTGGGTCAACGATGCGCCACGGAAGGAACATTCACGGGGATTTCTCTTACAGTTCTAGTTTCACTTAAATTTGAACTTTCGCCATGCCCAATAAAATGCGTGCGCAAATGCTGGCCAGCCGGCTGATGTTGTGGTTTCGTCATCTTTCTGATTTAACAATGGGACTGTTAACTTTCGTATTATTACCGTCTTCAACCGGATGTACCTGGAATAGGTATATTTGCCCCTTCATGCCTTAAGCTTTTACTCGTCTATTAGGGCTTCCCCTTAATTCATTTTCACTTGCATCTCAATATTACTTATGCAATTTGGTAAGCTTGTCTTTCCCCTTATTTCCTTTCGTTTTCTTTACTTCACGTGACCGGCACAGCGGGGACTGCTAGTGCAGGGCACGTGGGCATTGTTTGGTTGACCATGTGAATTGTGTGTTAAGCTGGCTCCCCTTTGGCAGATCAATCCACTGCATTCCCTGTGGCTCAACGACAATTTGGAATGTGGTACATCCAACACACCCCTTAATACACTGTTCCTGGTCATGAATGCTGTCCAAACTTAACGAAACTCTAAATTGTTCTACTGCAGTTGCAAAGCCGTAAGACAATACCAGTTTTTTCAGTGGCCGAAATTTGTCACTGGGACGGCCAGGTATAAAAGATAGGATTCCTCAGCGGCAGCCTATCGCTCATTCACACTGATTGAAAGTATGATTTCATTAAGTTAAGATCTATAGGTAAAACCAGTAGTGTTAATGATGTACTATAAACTTTAATGAGTCATTTATACATATTTTGTTCTTTATTTTTTCCCGTCTGCGACTGACCAAAAACGTTCAGATGGAACGGCTGGCCTTTCGTCTGTGCGCATTAACTGACAATATGCGTAAGGAACACCGTCCTACTCGTTGAACAGAATAGCGCAGTGTTTATCCTGTCTCCGAGCCACGAAACGGCCCGGTTAACATAATAGTCCCGGCTGACTCTTGGATTCAAACTTCTTTCGTGGCCCTCAGCCGTTTCCGCACTGATGGTCTGGGTCCTCCCTTGTCTTGTCTCTGGACGGTAGTGGAGTGTCCTGCGAGTAATCAATAAAATGATCGTCTTCTCCGACTGTTACAAGTCCAGTGTAGTGGCGATATTCAAAGAAGAGTTTCGAAGTTTGTACTAACCGGCGGTGTATTAGCCTTCTACTAGTTACGAAATCGCTAGCTTTTCCTCTAGCGCTCTGCGATTTGCGGAACGAGATTGTCAGACGAACGAAGATGATGATGATGATGTGTCAGCTTATACGCCGTAACGGCGCTTCGCTGCCGCGCGACCACCACCAGTCACGCGCGGGCTGAGTATACCGCGAGGACGCCCACCCCTACGCGGATTCGAACCGGTGACCTTATGGTTGGGAAGCAAACGTGCCGACCACTCGGCCACCGGTCGACGAACGAAGAACTGTTTATTGGTCATGATTAGGCAGCATAACTCGTAACCTTATTTCTCAGGTGTAGGGGTAGCATCACACTAACCGAAGACGGACTACAGCTGTTTTCATCGATTTCAAACACACTTTGGCTTAGTCACTGTTTTGTCCCATATACTTCACCGGAAAAATGTTCCCGTTAAGTATATGAGCTTGTTACACCACTTTTGCTGGAGCGCCTTAGGTCGCATCTGTATCCACGATCAATTGCTAGGTGCTTTCTTGACAGTTACGTTCACGACGTTTGTTCCATGCTTCATGTTCATTTACTTTTACTGTGTATTCCACCGTGAATTGCTCAATTATGCATCCTCACTTCCGTGTATCAAATTCCAGTGTATAAAAATTAGTTGTCTCGTGTTACGTGGGCGTCTTCATAGTGCTGTTTGACTATCACCAGGCAGCATACCAGTCGACGGCTAACAATTTTATGGAGGAGGTATTCTGATTCGATCCTTTGCAGCCAAATTCATTTAGGTGGTCAACACGTGCCTGTGGAAGCGCTTGGCGGTCACTTCATCCGATTGGGGATATTCAACGGCGTAGGTCTCTCGAATCATACAGGATCCGAACCCACAGTTTTCCTATTAGAAATCGGGGTCTTAAGACACTGAACTATAAGAGAGGGCGGTAGGCCGGTATAGCTAGTCATTAGTTGCGTTATGGCGTAGCCCATCATCTGTAATGATCTCACCATCTGACATGCCACTTGCAGAACCTTTGATCGCGACAATAGGGAGTTTAGTTGATCACTTTAACTTGCAGCTGCATTAGCGGTGGTAGGTACCTGACCAATTGAATTGCTCCATTATAAAACTGCCACAACGTTCAGCGACCTTTGGCACCTGAAGGTGGTTCTCCTTGGTCTCGAACGTCCTGTCCACAGGATCACTGATGGTTATCATCTACTGCACTAAGACGGCCTATCCTGCTCTTTGACTATTGTTTGCTGTGGAACACTGATTATCTCGGGTGGCACTAGCGTATCCACAACGATGGAGTGCACAAGCAAACACTAGGTGTTGATACTCAGGTTAGTTTGTTGGATACATGAGGAAGACTAGATGGCTCGCGTCGATTTTTGCACGTCCAACGTGCGCTCACGCAGGCTCACTGAGGATGGCGTTGTTTCGTGCATCAGGTCTAGGATAGCGCGACGTTCAAATGGCATTCGTCAACCTTGCAACTGAGACCGTTGGGGAGTAAACGTGGTGTTATTAGCCCATATTGCGTTCCAGAAGAAAAAGAAACAAGTCCATCAGAGTACGCCGAAGCGAGGCACTGACGCTTTGCTGACACACCACCATCATTACTCGTGCGGGGGCTACGAATTCTGCGAGGTCGCTCGCACCTACGCAGATTCGAACCGCGGTGACCTTTGGGTTGCAAGACAGACGCCTAGTCCATTCGGCCACCGGCCTTCTTGCTTTCCAGAGCGAAGTTAACGCAACCTTTTCTGGCCTGGATCGGGACGTTATAGAGCAATACTCGCGATCTGCACCAGTGGTGTTTGATATCCACCTTCCTGCCTACAGTTTACAACGGTCCCTGTGAAGTGAAGTTGCCGCAATGTTGGGTAATAAAGGCCGTAACGCAGCTGTCTCGTCCACACGTCTTTATCCTCGTACGATTTCCAACTGTCTCTGACCATGCGCTGTTGGAAAACGTAGGCATCTTTGTCCTGGAGTTTATATATATATATATATATGTATATATATATGTATATATATATATATATGGCGGCAGAACTAATGGTGCGCTGAGGCTGGTTGTGGCTAGATCCTGACAGATGATCTACCCACTGCTGCTACGGCTGCACCATTGGCTCATGTCCTGGACGCCTCCTCGTGGCGACCGCTGGGTGAGAGTTGGGTTTCGCCCTTCTCCCTGCCAAGATCCAGGACACCAATCCGCATGAGTCAGTGAACTGACCATGTGCTAGACCCGCTGCCTTTCGGGTGTACATTTAATCGAAGGCTGAGGACCCTAGTCGTTCTCCTGTCAGGTG